TTGAAATGCAAGTTTTGAACAATGTCTTTAAAGGAAAAGTCAAATGATTTCATATGTACCATTTGACTATTGAAAAAGAGAAAGAGTATAATTGATGTTTCTGAAAAGTACTTCAGTAAAGCAAAGTGAAAAGTAACGTAAAGTAATAGTCACTTTCTTTGTAAAGGGTGATTGAGCATAATGAATATTGAGTATTTTTGTAGTAGTATTAAGCACCGAAAAGGGTAAGAGTCTATTTTTAACTCAAGTCTCATAAAACTAAATAGCCAGTGTAGGATAAGATCACACCAATTTGTCGTGTGACTCCTCTCTGCCTCTAATAAGGCCTATTAGATCGATACATAGTTGTAGTAGCATCATATACCCGACAATGTATAAGATGACCCTTGCAAAGTGGGCAAAATATTGTATCATTGCTAGATTCATAGTTATAATTGTCAGTTAGAGAAACTCCCCCAAAGAGTAAAGTATATTATTATCATATTGTTTTTATTGCATTTCTTATTGTAAAGCTTAAATAGTTTTCACTTCATATTCACGTATTAATTCAGTTCAGTTGCTTTAAATATTCCAGTTCAGTTATTTATTTATTCAATCATGTTTCATATTTGTACATTCAACGTACTGATGTTATTCGACCTACATATTTTTATGATGAAGATACAAGTGCTTAATTAGGATCATCAACAGACGCTCCATTGAGATCACTTCACATTTTCTGATAGCTTTCGGAGAGACCTCTTTGCTTCCGAAATTCCATTTTTGTATTCTGTTTAGTAGTACTTGAGGTGTCGTCGGTCTTTTCTCGACTTCTATCTTGAACAATAGAGGCTTCATAGATAGGTCGTGCTAGATGTTTTTTCATGTTTTTCTCCGGATGCTTTTATTGGAACTTATTCATGCCAAGTATTTCAAGTGCTTAAAACCTTTTATTTAAATAATTTAAATATTCATCTATTTAAGGTTTTCGCGTATCATATTGAGTCTCATGTCTATAATTAGCCAAACCTAGGTTTCGTTTAGGGACCATCAATGTTTCTTGAGTGCCGGCCACATCCATGGTATAGGCTCGGGGCATGACATCGCACATATAGTAGAGAAAGAGATCTTGAAGAATTAGCTAAAATGATTGTTGGTACTGGCTTGCCTTTTAGTTTTGCTGAAAATCCCGATTTTATTCATTATATTCAAATAGTCTATAATCAATCTTTTAAAGAGTTTTCAAGAAACATAATTAAAAAGGCTATTTTATTATCAAGGTCAACATTTTCATTATCTTCGTTGTTTATTTTACTATAATACTTGTAAAATTATTATCACTTTTGATATGGGTCGTAGTGTTAATGATTATGATTATTTCACTATTACTAGCCATTGCATTGATGAAAATTGGAACATGCAAAAATGAATTTTAGGTTATAAAAATTGTGAAATGCATAAAATTGATAGTTACATAGCTCAAATTATTGTAGAAGTTCTAGAATTTTATGAAATTTGTAATAAAGTAATTAGTGTCATCCTAGATAATGTTTCTAATAATACAGTTGTTGCAGAAATACTAAAATTGGTACTTATTCCTATTTATGATAGTGGTTTTCTATTAGGTGTGATGCACACATATATAATATAATTGTTAAAAATGGTACAATAATGTTTAATAATGATTGTATAAAATGTGAAACTGAATGTCATTTTACTTTTAAATGTCAAGTAAAGCCTAACGTAAAGATTTTGAAAATCATTGTTGTGAATTGAATCTTCCCCTTAGAAAAAATTCAAAAATAGTATACAGTAGATTAAATTCTTTATATGAAATGTTTAAAGTTGCTTATTGATATAGAAAGCCTTTACAAATGATTTGGAATACTCATAATTCTAATATGAAGTATAGACTTACCGATACTAATTGGGATGACATAAAGGATCTTATAGAGTTTTTAAAAGTTTTTTCATTTAGCTACAAAACAAATATTTGGATTTTATTATCCAACTATTTGTTCAGTTTTACCAAATATTTGTGCTATTTATGATAAATTTTCAAGTTCAAATATATTCCAAGGTTTAAGGAGTCCGTTAAGTCAATGATTGAAAAAAATTTAAAATATTTTTTTTCTATTCCTCAAATATATTTAACTGCTTATTTATTAAATCAACTTACAAATAAATAGGTGCATCACAAATGGTTGAAAAAATATATTGAAATTTAGATATTCAGGCCGAGTGATTACCTAATTTGACAACAGTTAAAGATAAAATAAAAATTGAAGCTAGAAAATTGTATGACTTGTATAATTTTGGTAGAATAATTGAAATAGTACATAAAGAAGAAAATTTTAGGTGGAAATATGTAGATAATATTGATGATATGCTAGAAAATTATCTTGGTCTTACTTCTAATGGAAAGAATGGTTTTGATGAATATTTTAATCAGGAAACGTAAAATATTAAGGATGAACAAGGCACCCCTCAATTTTTAGAACGGTGGAGGAGTCGCGACAAGACATTTTCAAAATTTCAATCGGTGGTTTGAGATGTGCTAGCTGTTCAAGCATCTTTAGTAGTTTCGGAGAGTGTTTTTAGTGCAGCAAGGTTTCAAATTGGAGAGTATAGGTATTCATGAAATCAGACAGCTTGGGGATATCGATATTGCTTAGAGATTGGATCAATGTTGAGCGAAAGAATTATGGGCATTCCAATTACCTGTTCAATTTGAATATACTATTAATGAAATTTTGGTAGATTGTAGTGAAAATGCCATGAATGCATTGGAGGAACAAGCACTACAATCACTTCTAGAACATGTTACGAAAGAAATGATAGATGACCTATGACAAAACTATTTTCAAGGTTACAAATATTAGTATGATAATTCGAGATCTAATTCAAAAAGAACCCTTCCTAGAAGGTGGTTGCATAGATTAGGTCCTCTTCTAATATTTGTAATAAAAATTGTTCTATTTATATTTTTTTATGAGTAAATTTATACGTTATTCGCCTTAATTTTTTTTTATTATTGTGTTCAATTTAATACACGTCTTTTTTATATATTTCAATTTTCAAATGTTTCAAACTTCAATTACAATTTGAATTTAAAAAAGTTTGAACATTGAAAATTTGATATAGTTTAAAAAGTTTCAAACTTAAGTAAGTTAAATATAGTTTAAAATTTTTAAATTTAAACTTTTAAGACTTAAGAATTTGAAATTTAAGTTTTAAGAGTTAAAATTTAAACTTTTTAAAAAGAGTGTAACTTACTAAGTTGTACTTTTAAAAAGAAATATTAAATAATTTATATATTTTGAATTTTTTTCAATTATAAAAAATTAGTTTTTAATTTAATTAAAATTAAAAAGGGGGTCCGATATCGGTCTGGTCTGATCTCGGTACGTACCAATCCAAGACGGTTGTTCCTATAGTTACTGATATGTCTGGTACCGGTTCTGTCTCGATCCCGCTGTCAAACTTACACTAAATAACTGATACCGTGTCCCTCCATTTGTCATAAGGGTACATACATTTCAAAATATTGACGGTTACTCGATAAAGGTATACACAATCCAAAAGTATAACAAAGGGTATTAACGTACTCTATATGATAGTTCAGGGGTACACAATGAAACCTCACTAAATTAATATAGGCGAGATCATGAAATGTTATTATTGTTTTGTAGAGTTATTATTTAATCGATAAATTAATATTTATTAATTTAAATAGTATTTTAAGATTAAATGAAGGTTAATTTCGAGTATATCAAAATCATTGTATCTTAGTAATTTATGTATTAAATTTATGAAATTCACATAAAAAATATATTTGTTATACATAAAGTACCATGAATAATGTTTTGGATGTTTGCAATCCCGATTTGGACGACAAACTGATCCAGGAAAGATTAATGTTTTGGATGCCATTAATTTTGTAATCCCGGCTTGGACAACAAATGTTCAACAAGAGACAATAGCAAATTGTTTTCAACACTGAAAAATTCATTCGGGATGAAATCTCAGAGAATTTTAATAAACCCACTTGTGAAAACATCATTCATGAACTTGAGGTCATGATTAATGATCTCGGTTACTGCAATAAAATGGGCATAAAAATATGTTAGATTACATGGATGAAAATAATACATGTTCAGAGGTTCAGAGCTTAGAAGAAATTGTGAATACCATAGGAAAAAATAATATTGATGATGAAGTTGGAGGTGATACAATACCTTTAGAACCAATTATTCATAAGAAAATACTTATCACATCTAGAACTCATCACAATTTTATGGTGTAGTAAAAAAGACAACACTGGAACTTTTGGAAGCAATAAGAAAAATTAGAGAAGAACTTCAATTAAATTTAATTTTTAACAAAAGAGAACACAATAGAATCATATTTCACTAAATTGTCTTAGATATTTTGTACTTTTAAAAAATTATTAATTTATAATATTAATGAGACCATATATTTATATAGGAATCTTTTGAAAATATATTATCTTGTCGAACTTAGTGATTTTTTCATTGACCTAAGTCAAAATCGAAGGAAATTATTAGTTTAGACAAATTATTAATTACCGAGTATTAATTTAGTAAGACTTTACTGTATTTATCATTTTTTCTTGAATACTTCCTCTGTTCCTAAAAGAACACAATGATTGGCATAGTCATTTTACTATTTTACCCCTATTAACTATGAAGTGGATGAATTAAAAATTTAAGATTTTCAAAAAGTTCTACCTTTTTCAAAGTAATTAATTAAGGATATAATAGCTAAAAATTTCTTGTTCTTTCTTGATTTATCAAAATGGACAAATAAAAAGGAACAAACAAAAAAAGAAAAAGTAGACAAGTAATTAGGAACATATGAAATAATAAGTAAAGTGCGCAATAGAAATTATCTAATAATAATAAAAAATCTTTGTTTTAGTAAGGAAATAGAACTCCCTATACGAGGGCTTGTTAAAAGGGTTGAGGCAAGGCAGGAGGTTTTTGCAGGGTTTTGTTCCGCCATCTTTAAGCAGCAAACTCATATTGCCTTCCGCGGCTTGTTGCCATGGTTCAATCAAACAAGAAGTTGAAACAAAAACTAAGAGCAGCTAAAGCTGAACTGTTAGCTTCTTCTGAAGTTAAACAGGAAGAAGGGAGTATGAATGAGAAAATTAAACAAAAACAGAAGAAGAGGAAGAGAGATGAAACTGATGGGTTAGACAAGGATAAAGGGGAGCTGGGGAAGCCTATGAAGAAGAAGAAGAAAAAGAAGAAAAAGAAGAATAAAGGGAAGAAAAAAGTAGAAGATGGACAAGTTGTGGAGGGTATGAATGTTGGGGATGGAGGAAATGGACAAGTAGCATCAGCAGCCCACACTCGTAAAACTGAGGAAAGGTATGAAAATCCTTTTCTCATTTACCTAATTGTTATTATTCAATTTGATTGTCCGGATACCACAAAAACAAACAAATTGATACGAAGGCCCTACTTGTTTTTCAAGTGTAAGATACACTCGGACCTTTTTTAGCTTTGTTAAGTTCTACATGAGAATCAAAATAATCGTTGTTATGGTAAAATAAGGATCCTTTCTTGTTAAGTTTGCTGAAATCATGAAGCCCACAACAAGGCTAATGCATAATTAATTTCAATATCAAGTCTAACTTCAGGTTTGCTGGCCAATTCAAGGGCATAGCTGGGTTTTTGTTTGAGCACCATGGAATGTTTGAAGCTGTTGCACACAGTGCACAACCAAAAAAATAAAATAAAAAATGAATGAGTTTGAATTTGATGGTTATGTGATATGGATGAGCACTCCGACATTGCATCAAACTCATGTGTTTTGAGCTGTGGGGATTGACTTCTTTCATGACTCTTTGTTTGATCTATGTTTCATAAAACTTTTGTCCAACTCTTATCCATTGCATGATTTAGGATCTCTTCTTTCATTTTCTTTTTTGTTTCTGACACCTCTATGTTGTTGTGGCTATCTACCTGTCTGTTCCAGGGAAGAAAGCGTTGATATTTCTAATAAAGTTTATGTCGGAGGTATTCCTTATTATTCCACTGAGGATGATATTAGGAGTTACTTTGAAGGTTGTGGCACCATTACGGAGGTTGATTGTATGAATTTCCCTGACAGCGGAAAGTTTAGAGGAATTGCCATTATCACTTTTAAGGTAGATTCTTTGAGTGAATTGGTGCTTTCTAATAGTGTTTGTTGGTGTCCTTTGCACTATTTTCAGATAATGTTTGCTTAAAAATGTCTTGGATGTGTTTGTTACCTGCAATTGTGTCACAAAGTTTTGAAGTATGTGAATTTCTGCAGACTTTTCAGGCTTAAGAATTATTATTTGCTTGACAGTCCAGTTGATAAATAATGAGATGGAAAGTATACCATGGGAAAATTCATCTCTTAGCCATATGACAGTCAGTGAGTTCTTATCTGTTGCTTGAATGGGTACAGCCAGTACAAAGCAGGGATGCAGAATCCTTTTAATCCTACAAGGTTTCTAAAGAGTTTAAAATTACATCCAAATCATTTTGAAAAACAGCGGTGGACCGATGTTTCAGATATTAAATACATCTGTTCTTAACTAAATAAACAATTTCCCCCTTTCTGTCAAAGCATCTTCGGTTCCTTTCAAGCGAAATGCTCCATAGTATGCACAATCCAATGGTCATCCATATCTTCTTTTGCTGCTTCTTCATCCTCTGGTTTATCCAGCTACAGAGAACTTGATCAGATGTTTGCTTGCATAACCTATCAAAATCCGTATAAGCTAAGAAAGACGCACCAGATCTGCCACACATACATGCAATGTATTGATGAATGGTTCACTGATTCCCCTTCCCTTTCACAAATAGTACCAGCAACATAAATTAATCCTCTTGTCCGCGGCTTATCCTGTGTCAAGCTGGCCTCATGTGCTGCCAAAGTCAACAGTTATAACTGGAGTCTTTGTCTTCCAAAGCATTTTCCATGGCCATTCTGTACCACTTCCATAAATTCTAGCCATCCTTACCAATATTTGGTAGTTTGACTAAACGAGAAATTTTTCTTCACTGGTGCCTTGCCTGTCCAAAGCAAGGCCTTCAGGAGTCTTCACTTACATCTCCAGCCTATCTATCCCCAAACAATTCCTTTTAAATTGAAATATTCATGAGCTGCCATTCTGGCAGTTAGTGATTATACTATTTTTGTCAAGTACAGTGCTGTATGAATCAGAAACATGCCAGCTAAAGATTTCCCCAACCCAATTGTTCTCCCAGAACTCAAAATATCTTCCATTGCCAATTTTCATTCTTGTGTGATCTTGCAAATTAGACCATAAATTGTTGATGTGCTTCCAGAAGGCAATATCATGAGAGTGCAGTTATACTTGTCGTATCCTCATAATTCTGAAAACCATACTTCAGCTTAATGAACTCTTTCCATTGTTCTCTTCTTTTGTCATTCCACCTCCACAATCATTCGAACAGAAGGCTTCACCATCCTCCTTGTGCAACTTCAACTTTCCTCACCTAACAAATGCATCTTCTTGATGTCGATCTCTTTCCCCGAAAAACTTGCATGTTATTCTATCTTGTTGGGCTTCCACTTTAACTAGAATGAGCATTGATGAAATCAAATAAGTGGAATGTCATTTTGGACTCCTTCTACCTTAATTGGAATGAGAGTTGATGACATCACATAAGTTGGAATGCCGTTAGGATGCCGTTCACCAAGGTCGACCTAACAAAAGATTCTGTTTTTTCCATGTACTTAATTTCTTTTCACATATTTTAGTTACTCTCTTTCAAATGCTATTTTCTTCGAGAGCTAATCCAAGATGTGGGAAATTATGACTGGGCCACTCAACGCATCTGCTAATCATGAACAGACTGTTCTGCTCTAATAAAAAAACATGCTGCTCCTTTTCAGATTTATATGAAGCACTGAAACAGCCTCGAATACAATCAGCAGCCCCTATGGCCGCAAAAATTGTTCCCTATCTGCATCAGCATATAAAATATGGGAGATTACTATAAACCTTCCACACAGGTAGCAATCCTGAAACCATTCAACCATTTAATTTCACCGCTTTTGCAATGATCCTACTCAATGTCTCCATGATAAGGAGATAAAAAATGCCTCGTCTCATCCACCTTGTGCAGAGAAAAACCTACTGGAGAGCCATTAATAATTGTGGTAACATAAAACATCATCCAATCAATTCACCTGTCAGCAAAACCCATTTTCCGAATAGTATAGAAAATGGAGGGTCAGTTTACATGGTCGTAATCCTTCTCGACATTAAGCTTAAAGAAGACTCCCTTCTTGATTTTTAGCTTGTATACAAACATCCCTCTTCTAACACTGCCACATCTACAATCTGCCGACCTCCTATGTAAGCATTTTGATTTTCCTATATCAAATTGTCCATCATCCCTTTGAGTCTCTCCGTAAGCACTTCAAAGAATTTTATATATGTTACCCACTAAAGAATTTTATATATGGTAAGTAGGTGGCAATGCGTTGTCTTGTTGTCCCTTCATATTAGTAAGTCATACTATTTCTCCTATAGTTTCTTGTCCTTTGATTTCTGTTATCTATTGATTCCTTGTACTTCAATTATCATATTGTTTTGTTGTATTTTTGGTTCTACTACTATCTGTTGTGTTGTTATTATTTGTTGATTTTTGTACTTCCATTACGTCTTTTTTTTATTGTTTTTCCTTGAACCGAGGGTCTATCAGAAATAACTTCCCTACCTCTGAGGTAAGGATAAGGTCTATATACACTCTACCTTCCCCCATCTCTTCTTTGTGAGACTATATTTGGTATGTTGTTGTACTCATTATTAGCTACTCCATCCGTTTCAACTTATTTGTTGTACTTCCCTTATAAGTCCATTAAAAAAAAAATCTCAAAAAAAAAGTCCATTAAAAAAAGAATCTCTTTTTTCTTCGGCAACTCTTTAATTTCAACTTTTCACGTGTTATTTTTAAGACCACAAGATGAAAGGAAATTTTGTACATTCTTCTTTAGTTTAAGATCACAAGATTCAAAAGTCTTCTTTGCTTAAACTCTGTGCTAAGTTAAAACCATACAAATAAATTGAAATGGAAAGAGTAGTAATATAATAAGAATGCTACTTTTGGAATTTATCTCCTCCAAACTCTATAGACATTCTGCAAAATCGATTTTATTTGTGTTTGAAATTATTTCTTCTCACCAATCAAAAATAAAAATCTTATAAGATTAGTCTTGAAGTGCCTACGATAAAAGAAGTTGTCTTTCATGTAGCTTTGTGCAAATTTATGTTTTTGAAATGTTAATGCATCACGAATCAGTTATTCTTTTTTGCATAGAGTCTACCACACCTTTGTTTGTTAATCATTTTATTATTTATTTGAGAGGAGTGGCAAGAGTTCAAGTTACCCACTTTCAACACAGTTGCAGAGTACCGTGCTAATCTGAACTACCCTAGATTTGCATTTGACCTGTTTTTGTGACCTAAGCCACCTCATACAGACCCTTGGTTTGTTTTCCTTTACCCCGTGTTGGTTTCTTGCAAATATTGCTAGTTGAGTGGGTTTCTCTCTAAATTTGTTTTCCAGACTGAAGCAGCCGCTAAGAGAGCCATGGCACTGGATGGTTCTGATATGTAAGTGCAATCATGTATTCATTGTTGAGAAAGTTATATCTTCTGCGTCTCTCTTCTCACTAACACGTATATCTGCTTCCAGGGGTGGACTATTCCTGAAAATCCAGTCATACAAGTTCGCTAAAGCTAACAAAGTGTCCAACTTCTCACCAAACATGGTGGAAGGGTATAATAGGGTATATGTGGGTAACTTATCATGGAATGTAACAGAGGATGACTTGAAGAATGTTTTTTCAGATTGCAGCATAAGTTCTATTCGATTCGGTGAAGATAAAGAAACAGGAGAATTTCGAGGTTATGCCCATGTGGATTTTTCTGATAATGTCTCCGTAAACATGGCATTGAAGTTGGATCAAAAGATTGTATGTGGTAGACCTGTTAGAATAAGCTGTGCTGTTGCGAAGGAAGGAGCTGTTAAGAAAGGAGGTGCAACAGATTCAAGACCTATGCTGAAAGATCAAAATGTGGATAGTGTTGCAACAAGCACAGTTAGTGCGAAGATTAGGAGGCGAACATGTTACGAATGTGGAGAGCGTGGTCACCTTTCATCGTCTTGTCCAAAGAAGCAAGAAACTGATCAGAAAGAACAAGTTGCTAGTTGATTATAGTAGGAGACTTTGCATGTTCACAAAATCTGATCTGAGCTGTGCTTAACAGAAATTATGGTGGAGTTTTTATCATCTTGGACCACATTTCTGGAAGTCCATAATTTGCTCTTTTCCTAGTGCTTCCAGTATTCTTTCAATTTTGAACATGTGATTGGTAGATTTGTAAACATATGTAGCAGTTGTTACAACCACTGCATAAGTTGTTGCAAGTAACTACATCAACTGTAGTAACTTTTATAAATTCATAAACTTTTGTACAACATCTTTACCAATTATTGCAACCGTTGATACAATTGACTGTAACTACTTTCTTTTTCCCAATCTATATTAGGTAACTAGTTTGTAGGAACGTGCACCTTACAATATTTGATACATTGTTTGTATTGTAAATGATAAATTTAAATGGTACATATATTACTCAACTTTCTTTGTATTGAAAAAATAAATTCAAAACATACAAAGAAAAAGTAACAACTTCTAAGTTAGGCTAGAACATATTTAAAGATAAATACATACTCGAACACATATATATACTAGTCATGGACACGTGCGCTGCACGTGTGAGCCATGTTAAGTTGTATCATTCTTGTTGCTGCCCCAATCATTATGTGCTACCGGCCTCACTGCCTAAGAGTTATAATTAGTAAAATGACATCTTTTAGTAGTTATTCCTACTACAACCCATAAAATAGGATAAGAGGAGAAGTATAACCAAAGTACATGTTTGAGTTCTCTCTTTCATTTGATTTCATGTAGTTGTTCTTGAACAATTCTATTCGGGTCCATTACGAAAGCAAAATTTTTTTACATGTTTTTAAATTTAAAAAGAAAGAGAATTATTGTGATATTCAAAATCATATAAGTTATAAGAGACATGCACAAACATCCTTAGACCACAAAGTAACATGTTGAATATAATATTAAGCCAACTATTATTAAATATTAATAATAAAGTAGAAATAAAGCAATTCACGTTATATTAGAGTAGTAAATCAATCTACTATAAAGGAAAAAAGTAATTAACCATTACATTATTCGTAATCTCACAAGTATAAGTTTCAAAATGGTAGGGAATTAGCAGAAAATATGGGGAAAAATAACATGAGCGTTGTAGTTGTCGTTGAGAATTGACAGAGAGAAGAAGAGAAAACTGATAAAATGATGGAAGTGATTTAACACTTTGCCACTTTGGTGTCGACTTTTATAAAGTATTGTATAATATATGTAAATGATATGCGTAAATGTTAATATAATTAAGAACTTCTTGACCACATTTTCTACTCTGTAGAAAAATAACAGAGAATAGAAAAATGCTTGTAACACACTATTATCATTGCAGCAACAAAAATAACTTTCAAGTGAAAATTGTAGACGAACTATATAGTAATAATGAATCTATTAGATAAAAACTTACTAAATATTTCCATCAACTCGATCGTGGAATTAAATAGAAAGAGAACTATAATATCATCATCATCGTTGGTAATTACTCTAATTTAATTTCAACATGTGATGTGGAATTTTCTAAAGATGGAAAAAGATTTAAAAATTACCACAATGTAATTGGAATGAACTCAGAGACCACTATATATAGTTAGATTAAAAGTTGAGTGGTCGAGAATTGGAAAGGACAAAAATAAATAGCAAATTAGATATAATTTATACTTATAATGGTATATGTACTTCTAGTAACGGTTGGCAAAATGATACAAAGAGATCTCATTGAATTTGTGAAGAAAAATGAGGAGAGGGGCCAGGGGGGATTTACCAGAGAAGCCGTTTTTAATTTATTCAATGCTAAGCTCCCTTACCAGCTTTATTCTATATCTTTTCTTCTTTGAGTCATTAAGACCATCTCCAACCCACCTCTATTTTACTCTCCATTCTCTATATTTGGAGAGTAAAATAGAGAATGACACTCCAACCCACCTCCAAATTTGGAGAACTACTATTCACACTCTCTATTTCACCTTTTCATTATTTTATTATTATTTCTATTACTTTCTAATTAACATATTATTTTACATATAATTCCATTAATTAAATATCTAATATTCATAATTCTATTTTAAATGTAATATAATATTTTAAAAAAATATTATTTAATATATATTATTTTAATTTCAAATTAATAGTATTTTATTTTTTTTCTAATTTTCGTGAATAATAAAATTTTATTTTATTATTAATTTTCATTATAAAGAATATGCAAAATTAAAATGGCAAGATGAAAATTTTTAATTTAAAAATACAATACATGATATGATAGTTTAAATACAAGATAACAATACAATACATAACATAATAATTTAAATACAAGATAACAATACAATATAATCCATAACATAATAATTTAAATACAAGATAAAATACAATACATAACATAATAATTAATTGATCAGAATAATAATTTAGTAATCCGGTAGGTCATTTCCAGATTTAGCACTATACGAAAAAAAATTAGGATATGATTCCGAGAATTTTTGCGATTGTGGTTGTGATTGCGGTTGTGACTAGGTAGTCTAGATTGCATGCACTAAAAATGGAAAAATTGTCCAACGGCATGGGCTGGGCAATACGCAGGTCGTAGTGGATCACCAACAATTATTCTTGAAGTTGTTGTTGATTATGACCTTTGGATATGACATGCTTATTTTGGTTTGCCTGGCACCAATAATGATATTAATGTTTTAGAGTCATCACATTTATTTTCCAATCTTGCCAGCGGTATTGCATTTCCTGCCCATTATGTTATTCAAGGAAAATAATACGATATGGGTTATTACTTAGCTGATGGTATATATCCTAAATGGTCTACAATTGTTCAAACTATTCATGATCCTCATTCCCAAAAGAAGAAATATTTCGCGATGAAACAAGAATTGTGCTGAAAAGATATTGAACGTGCATTCGGAGTTTTGCAATTATTGCAGGACCGTCACGTTTTTGGAGAAAGGAAGTGCTACATGATATAATGACTACATATATTATACTGCACAACATGATAATTGAGGATGAACGTGATTTCAATGCACCAATTCAAGATGTCGTAGAGGCTCCAACTCCAACTATAGAAATGGTGGTAGATGAAAATCTCTGGTTTGAACAATTTTTAGGTAGACATAAAAAAATTAAGGACAAAAATGCTCATTTTGAATTTCATAATGCATTAATAGAGAATTTATGGTAGCAACGTAATAATTTTGAAAATTGAGTGTTTATGTAATTGTATGTCACTTTTATTTGAATTTGTCCCTTAATTTATGTATTATATTATATTTTCTTATAATTTATGTTATTTAAAAATTTAGAATAAAATATAATTTCATATCACATTAAAAACTATATAAAGTAATTATTTGGAAAAAAAGAAATAAAGGATTTATATTATGAAATAAGAAAATAAGAATGAAATAGAAATAATAATATAATATTGAGGAGAGAGGAAAAAATTCTTTTTTAGAGAGTAAAATAGAGAATTGGGTTGGAGTTGGTTGTCTGAAAAAATAGAGAACTCTATATTTGAAGAGTAAAATAGAGGATTGGGTTGGAGATGCCCTAAAGTTGTCTACTCTATCCAATTAAATTGAATCTCTTCCTCTCCTTATTTAAGATATAATTATTGTATATAGTGAAAGATGTAATTCAATTCCAAAATCTCCTCCTCTTCCCTTATTTAAGGCTCATAAATCATACTGTAATCATTTTGATTAGGAAAATCATTTCGAAAATTGAGATTTTATTGAAATACGGATGAAAGTTAAAAAAATCTGGAAAAAAAGAAAATAAAAACATATATAGACGCTGAGCTTTGGAGGTGTGAAATCACCATTTTCATTTCCCAACTACATAGTTATATATAGATTTTCTAAACTAAATTTCGAGTAAAATTAGAATTGCACGGTTAGTAATTTTTTTTTCTAAAACAAATAAATAGAATGAAGTTGAAGCAAAGAGATCTAGAGCCGTTAATTAGTTTTTAATGAAATGATAATGATGAGAAAAGTTTTTGGGTATAAATGAATTAATGATGTGCCAAACTATATTTATAATTTTTTTGCTTATGATAATAATATGATTACTATTTAATGTTTAATTAATTATATATATATATATATATATATATATATAGGAATTAATCTAAGAAAATTCAAAAGTCATTACTATTTTAATTAAACTTATTATAACATTTTAATTTATAGGAGGGTAAAATCGCAATTCAACTTTTGACTTGAGTTCTTTCCACTTATAATATAATATGATATACATATATAAAGTGTTTATTTCATAAAATTAACTGTTATGCATGAAAGATAAAAACTAAACCGATACATATGTTGAATATCGTCTTAATCAACTCAAACGCGGTTAGAAGTCATATGAATTTTGCTTCAATTCAAGCATGAATATTTAAAAATAAAAATAAAAAAGAAAAAAAATTGATTGTATAATAATTATTACAGAGCATAAAAAGAAAAATATATCATCAAACTCATAAGCACAGACAAAAATCTTCAATAATAACTAAAAAATTTGAGATGCAAATGAAGAGTCTCTGGAAGAAAAAAGAAGCATGACAAATATATATTTATACTAACAGGTGTAGTACTCATAGAATTTTTTTTCAGAATTATTAAAATCATTAATGATTTGAATAATTAAGATTAGGGCATCTTGTCGGGCGGATCAGACGGATAATTTCGCTTAACGATTTGACTTATCAGTTATCAGTTTTTAAATGTACTAATCCGCTAGCCAACCGATAAGATATCAATTGATTTGATAACGGACAAGTAATTATAGGACAATTATTAGATGGTGTATTAGCTAATCCGTACATTCTTTTTCGATAACCGATAGTAAACAAGAATTTCAATATTCATCCAAACAACAACAAAAAATACAAAATTATGCCACCTAATTAAATTGCTAAACTAGATCAGTAATCACTAATCAGTTCTTTTGCACAATATAGTAGCATATTTTCTTTTCTACCTTGAAATTAACAATTTCAAATTTCAACTTAAAAAGATGTATATTTGAGAATAACGACATGCACTGCTGCACATAAAAAAACTACTTGTAGTTGCACAATTATTTTTACACACCTAATTGCTAATGGTACTGTAATGTCCCATTTATCGTAAAATGCCCATTTTGACGTTCCCCTTAGCGTTTTCATGCTTAGTTTGTGTTATTCAAACGATTGGCGTGAACCCATGCGATCGGGTTTATTTTAAGTGATTTTGACCCTTTTTAGTTGAGTT